CTCTCTAAATTATGTTTCCCCATCTCCTTCAAATATTCTGCATTGGGCATCTTCTGGGACATAAAACAAACAAAAACTCTTGAAACAAAATTCTCTTAGATTGAGACATATCATTTAGAGTTGAGATGCTTTAGGAAAAGTTTAGTACCAAAGGCAGGAATATAAATGGGAAAAAAAAAATCAAGAAATTGTTAGGGGCACCCAACAGCATTTGGGATAAATATGGAATCCAAAAGTGCAAAAACAATGCAGCATTGGCCAAGAGAATGGCCCCTTGGTGACGGGACTGTTCTCCATTTACCTAAAGCTCATGCAAGAATTGATATTCAAAGCTTAATGGAGTTAGCTCTCCTCTGGTCTTATGAGTAAAGGGTTAATAGGAGGAGTAATTGTGGTTTGTAATAAAGAAAAGCATTAATAAGGCTCAAAAAATTAGATCCAAGAATGACTACATACCATAGTTTTACAGTCAAGAATTTATGAAGCTTCTTTTCAGTCTAAAATAATCAATAACTCTTCCACAGAGAAATGATTTATTATGGACTTTAATACTGCAGAAGGACATTTAAATGTAGGAGACAGTTTTAGAATTGCTTATCAACATTCATACTACTGGGATAAGGATATCCTTAAATTATGAATTACGGTGTTTCATAGGATAATCAGGCTCACTTACAGATATTTTATTTTCTTTTCCTGTATTACTCAATAGTCAAAATAGAGATTTATCTCTCCAGTAGTTGAGCACTGAAATTACCATAGCTTAGTTTCTAAGTGTGCGTACTCGGAACATAGTAAATGATCAGTTAATGCCAGAGGACTAGCTCCTGCTTAGCAGTGACCATGGAAGTTCTGTGCACAACAGATTGCACTGCACCCAGATCAACTGTAGCAGTAGTAAGTTATTTATACCAATTTAAAGAAGGCAAGAACTAACAACGACTACACTCTGTGAGCTATGAATTTACAAATAACATTAATGTACAGAAAACGTGAACACAAAAGCATTACAGTAAAAACATATTTAAAAACTGGACAAGAGTTCTAGTGGTTTGTAATATTATGCCAATGGCTATTAAAGTCATATGCAGATATATACATATATATATATGTATATATATATGTATATACACACATATATATACTTCACGTATGTATATATATGTATCTATACATATATATAATTCATGTAGTGTATATATATGCAATATAGATATACATATATATATAATTCATGTGTGTGTATACATATATATATTTTTAAATCTATATGTAACATAGATATTTACCACTCTATATACTCTATCTGGACTTAGTTTTCACTTTTCCAAGTCTTAAGAACAGTAAAATTTCACTTAAACTAAAACAAGTTTCATTGACAGTGACTTTTCAGAATGACTTGTTTGGAGTGAATGTATTTGCTGTATGAACGAATAAAATATGAAAAATACTGGGGGTTCAGTTAATTCTCGTAGAATATTAATGCTAAAAGCCACTCTTAAGGTCACTGAGTCTAATTCCCACACTTTACAATGGGGAGACAGAAACAAGTGAGAAGAAATCACTTTCCTAATATTCACATTAGCAAAGCTGAGATTAAAAGACAAATTGCCAAACACCTGTCCTGTGCTTTTCTCACAAGCGAGAAAATGTCCTAAAAGCATTTTGCTGTTATTTCACTCTCTATTAGCACCATTAGGAAATGCCTCTTGTCAGACTCTACCAAGTGTGGAGCCACTTGCAAACTCTAAATGACTGATATCAAGTACAGTAGATAGGGAAGATGGAGTGATAAACATGGGTTGACCTACAGATATTTAGGAGTTTACTGTAATAAAAAAATTATGATATATTTTTCAAGTTGACAAATATAACATCAATTACCTGAGATAGAGGGCACAGAAAGTATAGTAGGAGAAAATGCAGGCAAGCCCTTTAAATCAATTAAAGGAACAGTTTCAGTTATACTGCTTTATATCATCCTA